CTTTCTCCTGAGTCTTCTCTTGGATTGAAATATCCCTCATCTGTTTGACCACTCTTCCTATGATTGGATCCCTTCGCTGTCTCCCCGACATGGTCCACTTTGTCCATGTCTAAAGTGTAGTGATGAAACTGAACACTGTCTTGGTTATGGTTTCACCCAAATGGAGAGGGTGGCATTGTCTATTCTTTTAATTCTGTCCACAATTTTCTTAGCTCTTCAGGCTGTCATATCACATTGTTAGTTCATATTGAGGATGGAATCAGTTAAAGCTTTACATTGGGAGTTCCTGGATCTCCGGAGCATCTGATAAAAGCTGTGGATTTCCCACCTCTTCACCCTACCTCTAAAATGCATTAACACAGTCATTGCTGCAATTTCAGCTGGTTCACGGGTCCTCAGTGTTTCTCTTTTCTTTATGATTAGACTTTGTTGATTACTTTGAGGAAATCATATATATGTTCTCTCATTCTCTATCAGTGCTGTTACATCATCAAAAATGAAACCAGAAACGGTCAGTCTTGGCATTATTTGATGAGTCCATGCTTCCTTCTAGTGTGTAGCACTTTCTTATTTGCAAGTGCTGTTTTTTGACAATCCAGGATCAGCCTCAAGCTAACCAGTCTGTAGTTCAGAAATCTGTCTGGCTTCTAATCCTCTCCCATTCTTCACGATTCCATACAGGTTACAGAAAGCAATTAAGCAGCCTTATCTGTGAAGCCTCTCAGGATCCCAGGATGTGATTTGTGGGATCGAATGACTTGAACTTGGTGAAAATATCTAGCTGGTTTTTCTTTTTTTCTCAGCCATCTTGGATTTAAGTTTCTTCTTAGTCATTGTATTTGATCTTCAGATTGGAAAGGATAAAACATTCTTGGCCGAGAATGGAAATAAACAGGAGTAAGGCTGTTTCTCTTCGTCTTTGTTACTATTACATTAACCACCCCATCCAGGGGAGGCTTCACTTTTTCCTCTACTTTTTACTTTAACCTCTAAAATTTCTTCAATATCTAGCACTTTGTAAAGTCACAGTTCATCCTGAGGCTTTAGCCTTGTTCAGAATATTCTTACAGCTCCATTTCACTCTTTATAATACTTGTTTTATGTGCCTGTTTTTTACCATCTGTTATAAATGGTTTTTTAACATCTGAATTCCAGAAAACTCTCTGTGCAGCACATCAGATTTTTTAGATACTTTTCCCTTTTTTCCCCTCCTCAGTGTGTTTTGCAATTATGCAGTCAGCATTATGCCTTTGAGAGCCTCCAAGCCTTCTCGAGCTTCTTTACACAGTTTCTGATCTTGGAATTGATCCTAATTTTCCTTTGAAAAACTTGAAATCTGCCTATCCAATATGTGCAGCCTTCCCCTTCCTTTCTTTCTTGATCTCCAAACAACACGGCTGCTTTCTCTAAAGCTTCCTCCTCCTTGCATGTTCCCACTCATGTTTTACTGGTGAAGATTAGTCCAAAGTAACAGTTTCTCTCATTTCTCCTCTACTTTCTGAAAGACAATTTTTATACAGACCGAAAGCACATCATCAGATGCATTGACTTAAGCTGAGTGACGCTTCCACAGATGTCCCCTGGTCAGTAATAATAGCTAACAGCTATATTTTGTACACTGCCACATGACAGGCACCATATAAGTCCTTTTCAGGTGGCTCCTCTTGCTTGTCTCCTCCCTTCGGGTTAGGAGGTGTAGGTGCTGTTGTTATGTCAACAATACAGATGAGGAAACAGGCTTAAGGATGTTGAGTTATTTGCCCAAGATTGCACAGCTTGTGAGTACCAAAGTTGGATATTTCCTAAATCAGATTCTTAATCACCGTACTGGGCTGCTTGACATGGTGCTTAATTACTATGCTGGACAAGATTCTAGTACTTCAAAACCTGTGTAGCTCTCAGACCACTGGCTGTGCACAGTAGGCACTTAAATATTTAATTTGAGGTTTATGTTTCTTGTTGATTTCCAGAGTATTGCCTTTTAGCTCTTACAAATCAATAAGAAAAAGATGAGAAAAATGGGTGAGGCACACTATTAGGCAATTCATAGAAGAAATGAATGGAAAATGAAAAGATGCTCATTTTTACTAATCAAATATGTTTTTGATGGTTTTAGGAGACCCATTTTTTTAAATGGCAAGGCTCTTTCTGTTTATGAATAATGATACATGAAAAACAAAGAAAGCAAAAATATTTGAAATTCCAGAGATAATCACTATTAACACAACAAACATACACAAATTTTTTTTTTAAAGGTTGGCACCTGAGCTGACATCCGTTGCCAATCTTTTTTTTTCTTTTCTTCTTCTCCTCCCCAAAGCCCCCCCAGTACATAGTTGTATATTCTAGTTGTAGGTCCTTCTAGTTATGCTATGTGGGATGCCGCCTCAGCGTGGCTTGATGAGCGGTGCTAGGTCCATGCCCACGATCCAAACCAGTGAAACCCTGGGCCCCCGAAGCGCAGCGCATGAACTTAACCACTTGGCCACGGGGTCGGCCCCCACAAAATCTTATTTAATTGAGATATCAGAGTACTGTTGGTTTTTAAAAACTGAATACATTGTGAACATCACTCCATGTTAATAAATACTCAATGATATGATCCTTAATGGCTGTATAGTATTCAACTGTTTCTCATAAGAGATTGAAGCTCAGTTTGTTTCCTTTGTTCTTTTTTTTTTTTTTTTTTTGAGGAAGATTAGCCCTGAGCTAACATCTGCCGCCAATCCTCCTCTTTTTGCTGAGGAAGACTGGCCCTGAGCTAACATCCGTGCCCATCTTCCTCTACTTTCTATGTGGGACACCTACCACAGCATGGCTTGCCAAGTGGTGCCATGTCCGCACCCGGGATCCAAACTGGCGAACCCCAGGCTGCTGAAGTGGAATGTGCGAACTTAACTGCTGCGCCACTGGGCCAGCCCCTCCTTTGTTCTTTAACTTTTTATATGTGAAGTAAAAGTGGTAAAGGATAAGACCTCAGATCTTATATATTTTTTGTTGTATTATTATTCTCTTTATTGAAATTACTTATTTACCATTACTCATTTTTGCTATGGTTTCTTCCACAGTTACTATTTTGCTAGGAAGAACTGCATTGGATGCCCAGTCACTGTGATTCATATGATTGATTCTTTGTATTAAGGATAATTATACTATCTTTTCTTTGAGAGGGGTCATTAGGCTAATTCGTTGAACATGTTAAGTGTTTTAATAAATGAGTATGTCATTTAAAGAGTTTTCTAAAGAGTAATGGAAGCTGTGTTGAAACATACTGGAAATTGATTGAGCTTTGGAGCAAGACTGTCCTGGTTCAAGGTTCAGATCCCAGCTCTACTAGATTTAGTTATGTAAACAAGTTGGGCAAGTCACTTAACATTCTAAGCCTCAGGTTTCTCATCAGGGAAACAGGGATGGTTATGGCTCTCTCACCGGAGGAATAATTTAACATGAGATGTTACACGTAAAGCACACAATGTAGTAATGTCAACTTTCTCTCTTTTATGCAGTTGGACAAGGAATTCTCAACCTTTTTTGTGCTGTTTACCCCTTTGCTAGTCTGGCAAAACGCATGGAAGGACGCTTTCTCAGAATAATGGTTTTAAATGCATAAAAAAAAACACTTGGGATTACAAAGGAAACCAATTATATTGAAATACAGTTATCAGAATACTTCCAGAAAACAAATTTATGGTGCTTTCTGTTTCAAATAGTTTTTTTGGACTAAGATGGGGAGTGAATGAGAAGGATAGGAAGGAGGGAAGAAAGAAGAGGAGAGAAAGGAAAGAAAGCTCATTGATATATATACCTGGTTTTGACTCCCTCCTAAGCTGTCACCCCAGATTTACAACGGGCTCCTAGACATTTCCACCTCAGCATCCTACCAGCAATTCAGATTCATCACCAGTGATGTTGGATGCCTTTCCTAAGCAAGCTTCCCTGTTTCCCTCATTAACACCACTCTCCCTGTTACCTCAAGTCTAGATCCTCAGATCACATTGGAGTTCTCACTTTTTCACCCTCTCCCTACTTCAAGTCAGTCATGCTCCTCTGTCGATTTTATCTCTACAGTATCTAATTCTACTATCCAAATGTAAGACCCTCTTTTCTCATCCTTGTCATTACAATACAGGCTTTTTCTGCTTGGTCTCCAACTTCCTACCTCTTCACAAAGTATCCCTTGAGTGTTTCAGGCCAGTTTGATATCTTCTGTATCTCAAGTTCTACAGCATTCACAGATGTGCTGTACAGCGTCGGACCTAATTGTCAGCTGCCTCATTTACTTATTGGTAAACGCGTATTTGCTTTCATGTCTCCAGATATAATCTAAGTTCTTTGACGAAATGGACCACATCTTATACTTTTCTTTTCTCCCCAAGGCACTTAGCACAATTCTTAAAGGTGCTTCCGAACATCTCAGTAATCATCATAATTAAGTAGTTCCAGCTCCAAAAACAAAAAGGAAAAAAATTGACCTTTTCTTGTCAACTGAAGTTGATGATATCAGACCAAGTCTTTATGTCAAAAACCTACTGATAATTTTGTGGACATCTAAATTTTTACTAACTCACTAACTTAATTCCCCAAACTATTCAGTCATGGTTATTCTTACAGCGTTCCTTGTGGTTAAGAAAACCATGGCCACGGTTTCCTCTACTGTCAAACCTGCATTCGTCCTCATAGCCACCACTTGTAGCCCAGGGCCTGATTTATAATAGGTGATTAATACATTTGTTAGAGGAATTTAGCTTGTGCCTGGAAAATAACTTGTTTACTTTAAAAAGCCTGGGAATGTGCATAGATTATTACAAATACAAATTACAAAAACAAATATAATAAAAGCTTTGTAAAAAAAATAAATAGGAAGTATATGATCTTAACAGTAAGAGCAGTTTTAGCAAAGTAAGCCTAAAATCATACGCGAGTCATCTTAGTGGGCTTTGGTACTTTGTTTGCCATTGATGTTCTTTCTTTTGGTTAAATCCTTTTACTTGTATTCTTAGGTTAAGACATCAGAATTTTATAGATACTCCCGACAGCTGCGCTATGAAGTTGAACAAGCATTGAATTACTTTCAGAACATTCACCAGCAGCCTTTGTTGGACACGAAATCAAGCCGCATCCGCTCTGCCAAACCCCAAACTACAGTATTCCGAGGAATGATTGGACATAGCATGGTTAACAGTAAAATACTTCTCTTAAAGAAACCAAGAGTCTGGTGGGAACTGGAGGGCCCACAAGTACCTCTGCGCCCGGACTGCCTTGCTATTGTCAATAACTTTGTGTTCTTGTTGGGCGGGGAAGAACTGGGCCCTGATGGTGAATTCCATGCTTCTTCCAAAGTGTTCAGGTATGACCCGAGACAAAACTCTTGGCTCCGGATGGCAGACATGTCCGTCCCACGTTCAGAATTTGCAGTTGGTGTTATTGGGAAGTTTATTTACGCTGTAGCAGGCAGAACCAGAGATGAGACTTTCTATTCAACAGAGAGATATGACATCACCAATGATAAATGGGAATTTGTGGATCCTTACCCAGTTAACAAATACGGACATGAGGGCACAGTGCTCAATAACAAGTTGTTTATCACCGGTGGAATCACCTCATCTTCCACCTCCAAACAAGTATGCGTGTTTGACCCCAGTAAAGAAGGGACCATAGAACAACGGACCAGGAGAACTCAAGTAGTTACCAACTGTTGGGAGAATAAGAGCAAAATGAATTACGCAAGATGCTTTCACAAGATGATTTCTTACAACGGCAAGCTTTATGTCTTCGGTGGTGTCTGTGTGATCTTGAGGGCCTCTTTTGAATCTCAGGGATGCCCTTCCACAGAAGTGTACAACCCAGAGACTGACCAGTGGACCATCTTGGCATCCATGCCAATTGGTAGAAGTGGCCATGGTGTGACTGTGCTGGACAAACAAATAATGGTTCTGGGAGGCCTTTGCTACAACGGTCATTACAGCGATTCCATTCTCACTTTTGATCCGGAAGAAAACAAGTGGAAGGAAGATGAGTACCCGAGGATGCCCTGCAAGCTGGATGGTTTACAAGTATGCAACCTGCATTTTCCGGAATATATACTGGATGAGGTCAGACGTTGCAACTAATGACATCTTTCTCCCTTAAAAAAAGCCAAACAAAAAATTTGTTTGTGACAAAGTAATTAATTAAAAAACATAAAGAAAAACCTCACCAGTTTTACTATCAAAGCCATTGGTCTAATATCGTAAAGATTTTTTCATTCTGTGCTAGCATCCTTGTTTTTCTTTTTAGTGGCCTCAAACTCATGCAATAAGTTAATTCTAAGCACTAGCTCTTGAAACTACTTCCAGAAGCAGTTTAATAGAATGATCCACTTATCTGGGAAGTTGATTTTATGCTTTAAACATTTCTTTCAGATGTCAGCATAGGAGTCATGCATCTTCTAAGAGAAGACCTGATAAGTGTCACTGGATGTAATTTCAGTTCCTATCTCTATCTGAAATCTTTTTGAACATTTATTTCAGTGTACTTCAGTCTGTTAGACCTTTTGGTTTTATTCTTTAAGTTTAAAACTCTTGACTTTTTTGCATGGCTTTTTGCTGAAAATGCAAAAATATAAATTTTCTACAAAATTAACTTTTTTATATTCAAAACACTATTTCTAAGCTGCCTTCTCTTATCTGCATTGTGTTAGTGAAAGCATATCCATACTTGCATACATCTTATGAATATATAAGGCACATCCTCTTTTATGTGTGATTAGGATTCTATATTTTTAAGCTAGTGCACTTGCACACACGGTTTGCCATACTTGTTGAATTTTAGATGTAATGTCTTTTCATGTATTAACATTTTTAGAAAGTTAAAATAACTGGAGTCCTCATTTGGTATCAAAGTAGCCTGTCTTCAGTCCATACTGATTCAGTAATATTTGAACTCCTTTTATTCCTGAAACAGGTATGGATTTATGAAAACTAACATTTTATATTTTATTTTCAAAAGTAAACGTTAGTGTTCCTTATCAATGTATGTCTTCTTTTTGAAACTGTTTCCTTTGCAGTCTGTTTAATGTTGCCCTGTTTTTAGTGAGGATCGGAGTGGTATATGCCAAGCCCTGGCCCTGCAGCGTGCAAGCACTTTTACAGAGAATTTAGGTAATACCAGACTCCTAAATAAAGGCCCTTAAAAGTAAGTGCAACTCCCATTCTTTACATTCAATAAGGCTGCTGCGTCTCTTGTTGAATGGAAAGTAGCAACTTGTGGAAAATTCAAGCTCAGTTTTGACTTAGAGGTAAGGAATAGAATTATAATCTTACCGGTCATATCTACTCGTTTAGTTAGTACAAAATACGTGGCGGCACTGGGGATATAAGCCCTCAGCTTTTGTTTTATTTACTGAAAGCTACTAGCATGAAGGATACTAACTTCAAAGTTCAGAATGGATCAAGAAAAGCTGTTTAAAAGCATTTATAGTAAGTGTTTTAGGATTAGCCGCACCTGTCAACTCTTTAAACTCGAAGGAAAAACAGATAGTTGACAAAATTAAGCAAGAATAACCAGGGAGTGGATCATTCAAATTGATGCCATTTTCTCCTGAGTAGAGTCTATATCTGATAAAGACTAGATCTATACTGGCAAAACTTGCCAGGTCTTAGGATATTGGTGCAATATTGCAATGCCTTCTATATGGCTGTTGTATAAATTTTCTAGTTTCACTTTTTTTTTTTTTTTTTTTGCTGCTGCCACCACTGAACATAAAATGGAAGAGTGAAGTCATGGAAATGTGAAGACTTTTGCTTTGGTTTTTTTACAATTAAATTAGATAACTATGAAAAAAAGCCTGATTTTAAAACTCCAAAACTGGAGGCATTTGCGTTTAAGAAACAGTCAGGCACACAAGTAGTTTTTGAAAAAGAAAAACATTGGCATTGGTTTTAGAAATCAAGTTAGTAATATTCTTTTGTATATGAGACTTAAATTTTTATTAAATGGTCCTGTCATTTACTTTCAGTTTCTAAAAATGAAATTCAGTGTCTTTGTTTCCCATGGTAATATGGGTAAAAATCTTTTTTTACATTTTAAAAATCATTTTTAATCATTTTACTTTTGAAAACTAGAAATTAGATTAGCTGTTTAATTTTTTTCTAATATATTAGTTTGTTTAGTGTTTTGTATGTGTGCTGTCTTGCTTTAAAGAAAATAACAATAACGTCTTCATTATTTTCCTTGTTGTCTTTTGCTGGAAAAGACCGAGACAGGGTACCCCATCAGGCTTTTACACTCCAGTGGTGGTTCTCTTTAATTGCTTAGGTATGACTTCATAGCCCTAATTGCGGTAAGATCTGGGCAAAAAAAAATGAGTATTCTTGGTCCTCCATTCTAAAGACACAAGGCCAAGGTCAAAGTTCATGTTTTGGAAAATTTGTGAAATCTTGAACTAACTCTGGGTTCAGCTTCACACGTAAGTCATGTCTGACCTGATGTTAGCTGTAATCAGTTTTGAGCTTTAAGAATAGTTGCTGTTGCTTGGGTTCTGAATGTATGAGGAAACTTTTCTGTTTATATGTAGTGCTAACTTAGGTAAAGTCCATGATTAACTTACATTCCCTTTTAAAATTATGGTTTAATTGCTGAAAGAGATTTATTTTTGTTATACTAAACTATGGAAAATTTTTTCATAGAATTTTTTTCAAGTTTATTTTTTGCGTGCTTCATTTGGAACCATTTTTGTTTATATACATTGTATGTGCTCAAAATAGTAGTTTTTTTAAAAATTCAGTAAGAGATTTGAAACTATTGAGTGTAACTGTTGTGATCTTTGTGTGTTAATTTTCACTTTACATTTTGAATGCCAGACTTTACAAAAATAGCTGATCTTCATTAATTGCATCTTAGAAACATTTGTTCTCTTCTGTGTCTTTGACCTTCTAAGTTTTGATGTTAATTTGCTTAAAGAAAATCCTTGCACTACAACCTTTTCATAAAATTCAAGATTCTCACATTGAAAGTTTTGTATTGGAAGAAATACTACTGGTTTTCAAAAAGCAAAGCTTAATTAATCAAATTCTTAGCTTTTCTTGAGACAGCTTTCTGTGTCCTCATTGCTCTGCTCTGTGTGTTACTATCATTTGTGAAATATTGACTGAGCCCTTCACTTATCTTTTCTAAAGCAGCACCTTTGGACACCTCATTCTGGGAAGCCTGCTCGAGTCATAGTAAAGGACACACACATTTGTGTGGGGAGAAGTGGTAAAAATGGAGAGTTTTGTCTTAATTACATGAAACTAAGCTTTAAAATATTTTATAACAAATTATTTGAGCTGCATAATCTAAACATGTCAAACGTTCAGTGGGACTATTTTTATATATGTATATGTGGTTGTAGGTCATAACATTTCAGTTTATAATATAAATCGTTATTTCAGTTTATAAGCTATCTCAGAAAAGACTAGCTCTTTTGAGAATACATAATTTAAAGTTTTAGACTGAAGTAAAACACAACATAGATAATAGTGTAAATTAGGTATAATTGAGGGCTATATGGCAGTAAAACTGCTAGTGCCATTTTCCTTGTTTGCCTATTATACAATTTTGGGGTTTTTTTGGGGGTTTTTTTTGTACTCTGACCATTTTTAGGGATCATACGTTTGTTCAGTTGGAGTAGAGTTGGTTTGGGAATAAATATCTTCTAAAAAGAGATTTATCTTAAAAATGAAAATCCTGAAAAATTAGTTTATTGAGAGTTTATAAAGTCAAATATTCAATAGACATAGACTGGAATAGGTAAACTCATGGAAGTCATATCCTTTCAGTATACAGTATAACTTCAATATTACACGAGTAACAGTGAGAGAATGCCATCAGCTTTGTTCCCCCTTAATATTCTTAGATTTTCTTTGTACATCTTTGGGAACAACTACATTAAAAATCTTATTAATCAGTATATCAGTAAGGATTAGGTGTTTGCTTTCTGAAGGAATGTTCCAGTGAGGTGATCGGAGAGGTTATTTTCTACCTAACTTGTATATGCCCTATACCTCTTGGGCATACTTTGTCTATAGAAAAATATTTTGACCTTTAGGTACATTTTGGGCCAGTAGTCAAATAATCCTAGGGCCGATTTAAAAATCTTAGAATAATTTAAGGTTTGCCTTTTATACCTGTTTTGAAAGCCTTTACATTTTTGTCAGGTAATTTTTCCCAAGCCGTGAATATAATCTATTCAAACATGTTTATGCTATCCATTCTGTTTTTAAATTGAAAAAAAAATGTTAAAAGTGTTTATGAAGAAAAGTTTAAATAAAATATTTTTAATCTTTAAAATATATTGCTTTATCTCTTATTATTTACTATCTTTATATAATCCATCACTTTCAAAGCCACTCATGACTTGATTAGCAGTATACATTTTGTTTTCCTGCACCATGCCAAGAAAGTGCCACAAAAATGTGATTTCTACCAATGCTTTCAGCCACAAATTCAAATGAGAGCATTAGAGTGAAATTATTTACACTTACATGCAATGGAAATTTTATAATGAAGCCAAGTAATTAAAGTTCCACTAACACAGAGTTTTGCAGAATGGAAATAGAGAATTGTGAAAATCATTTACAAGCCTCAAGCCTTAGTTTGGTGACTTTTAGATTTCCTTCCACATTTTGATTCACTGTTCTTAAATGCATTGCTGAAACTAGGAAATAGGCAGAAATGAACCTGCTACATCCCAAGCACTTGGATATACATGGGCACGTGTGTGCTGCCTTGAAAATGGACTCCAGAGAAACCTCAGCAGGACTCCCTAGGTCCTGGCCTCAAGCCACCTTTCCAGCCTCCTCCTCTCTGTCACTTCCTACACTCCATTCTGTCGTGATCTTTGTGTGTTAATTTCCAGCCTCAAATTACTTGCCTTTCCCCTTCCCTGCTTGCAAAATCCACTTATTCTGCAAAACCCAACTCAAATGCTCTCTCCTCCCCTCCTGAAACCTGTGTTCTCTCTTCCATTGAATTAATTGCCTCTTTTACACTCAACATATTTATAGCTCTTATTTCATCTGATTTTGCATAAAAGTGGGGTATAATTCTCCACAATTAGATCGTAGTCTCCTTAAATGAAAGCACCTTCTTTTATTCCTCTTTGCACCCTCATATCTAGCAGGCTACTTTTTGTACACCATAGGCACTGAGCTAAATGTTAATCGCAGCTCATGACAAATTCCATGAGTTACAGACAGATGCTGTAGGCATTCGGAAGAGGGAGATAGTACAGTTCCCCAGGGGTTTTGTCTCTGCTTGCTGCTCAGGCTACACGCTCCCTGCCCAATCTCATCCACACCTATGGCTTCACATACAAGTTTTATTCAGATACCTGTCAAATCAGTATTTCTCAAGTCCAGAGTTCCAACTATCTCCTGAACATCTCTCACATGCTATTGGAATTTCAAACTGAACAAGTGCAAACCTGAATACATTATCTCCTCCCCAAAAACCTGCCCCTTGTCCTGTATTCCTGGTATTACTGTGTCGTGCTACTATTGCCTGGGATTGTTCGAGTCAGAAAACTGGGAGTTGTCTACCAATGCCCCTCTCTCCCTTCACCCCAGCATCGTAGTTCATCCAGTCCTATCAGTTCAAGCTCGCGACTGCCCTCTCCTCTCCATCCATACTGCCCTCATTCAGGCCTTCAGCATTCTTGCTGGCCTTCTGGAGCTTTCTTTCTGATCTACCTCCACAATCCATTTTCTACACTGGTGCCAGAGGGAGCTTTCAAAACGTAAATCTGATCCTGGGGGTCAGCAGCCTTTAATAAGCTCCCTTCACCCTGAGAATAAGATGCAAATTCCCTAGCGTGCCACACAAGGCCCTTGGTGTTTTGCACCCCTTAAACCCATTTGGCCTCTTTTATACCCCATATTCTAGCTATGCGAGCTCCTTGGAGTCCCCTGAGTACACATTTTCTCCAGCCTCTCTGCCTTTGCACATACTCTTCCCCTCTTCCTTTCCTGGCTAAGCCTTTTCTTGGCCTTCAAGAACCAGCTGTGCATCATGGCCTCTGTCAAGTCGTCTTTAACCCCTCGGGCCAGGTTAACCGTGCCCTTGGTCTTACCATAGCACCTTGTGGATACCTAGACCCCCCCGCCCCGACATTTGATTATAACTATCTTCTCTATCCCACCCTTAACTGTACTCTTTGAGAGCAGATACTGTGTCTTTATCTTTACTTTCTAAAGAGTCTCACTTAAGGTCTGGCACATGGTAAGTCCTTCTTAATAAAAATAGAACCCAGAAACTTGGAAGGTCACCAATGAAATGCTCCTGGTGAGGAGGGGAAGCTGTATCAGCTCGATTGTCTGCCAAAATTGACCTCCTGAGGAATTTCCCTCCATTCATTTCCACTGTCACCGCTCCCTGTCTAGAAGACTGATGCATGCAGCTGTCACAGTGGTCAACAGCTACTTCTTCCTTAACATCTCAGTGTTTCTGATCCAGGCTAAAAACTTCAAGTAAAGCAGACCAAAGGGTGTTTTGCAGATCATTAATCCCATGAAATGCTCTGTGGGGGAAAAAATGGTCGGTGTCACAGTAATCTTGAGAAACACTACATATAATTTCTCTTTCTTAGAGAATCTCAACAAACAGCATATTAAAGGCTCTGAGAAGTCCTGATGTTAACTCATTTTGATTTTGTTTAGTTCATGGTAAACTAAACATTTAGCCATGGAGCTCTTTTTTTCAGGGCATATATATGATCCATGAGTGCTCTTGAAAAAGCTGGGCTAAGGAATAATTGAAGGAAGACAAGTGCAGAGGACCACAAATTCAGGTACTTTGGTCTACAGAACAGGACTTCCTCCTGCAGGGCCAGTTAGTTTCCAGGCTGAAGTCGACATTTTGCCAAGGTGACATTACCTTGGGGATTTTTTTTTTTTTTTTTTTTTTTTAAAGATTTTATTCTTTTTCCTTTTTCTCCCCAAAGCGCCCCCGTACATGGTTGTATATTCTTCGTTGTGGGTCCTTCTAGTTGTGGCATGTGGGATGCTGCCTCAGCGTGGTTTGATGAGCAGTGCCATGTCCGCGCCCAGGATTCGAACCAACGAAACACTGGGCCGCCTGCAGCGGAGCGCGCGAACTTAACCACTCGGCCACGGGGCCAGCCCCTACCTTGGGGATTTTATATCCCAAGGAGGGTCCCACTTTCTCCCCGCCCGGGAGTAGGATGAATTTGTATAATTAATTTGTACAACTTGTATGATTTAAGGAGCAGGACTTCCAGAATGGCCAAGGAAGGAGCTCAGCAAATCCTCTCCCTAAAAAGCAATGAAAAAACTGAACAAACTTACCAAAAAAATGTAAAGACTCTGGAAATTGACCAAGGCATACCAAAGTGAGAAGCATTTATTCAAGGAAATGTACTGAACTTCAATAAAAACAGTGGGAGTCTGTGCTATTTGAGCCTGGGGTTGCTTCCATCCTAACTTCTTCCCCCAGCTCTGTGGTGCAGAAGTCCTCCCAGGACCACCAGAGGTGCTTGTCTTTATTTGGAGCGGAGTGTGGAGAATCCCATATGTCATTGTGGCCAACACTGCAGCTAGCCTGAGGTCTCAATAGTGATTGGGTTTAGCAATAGTCTGGCAGGCAGACCCGCCAGGAATTTTTTTTTTTTTTTTTTTTTTTAGGAAGATTAGCCCTGAGCTAACATCTGCCACCAATCCTCTTTTTGGTGAGGAAGACTGGCCCTGAGCTAACATCCGTGTCCATCTTCCTCTACTTTATATGTGGGACGCCTACCACAGCATGGCTTGCCAAGTGGTGCCATGTCCGCACCCGGGATCCTAACCAGTGAACCCTGGGTTGCTGAAGTGGAACGTGCGCACTTAACCGCTGCACCACCCGGCTGGCCCCGCCAGCCAGGAATTTAACAGGAGATCTTGGGAATGAGACAGCCTAGAATCCCTGGTGGTCCAGAAAACTGTGCTCATCGACAAGGCTGTGTGCTCCTAAGGGGAGACCTAAGTAAGAGGGCCCTAGCAAGCTACTTGTCCCTGGCTGGATGTGAGGCCTTGCAAACACAGAAAATAAAAGCTGGAATAGACTTGGAAACTTCTCAAACCTTGAATGCATTCCCCAGGCCACACACAGATTCATCAGCAAAAGGTGGAAGCCTTACTGGCTCAAGGTGTTTTAAGTGTAACTTCTGGCCAATCACTGGCTGACCACTAAGCTATGCTGACTCGGGTGATCCCTAGGGATCAAAGCTTAAAAATAAAAAGAACTTTCAAAAACCCAAACTGAGCAGAGCCATCAGTGGCTGTACACTGGGGTGGGGAGGGGCGACAAGGTGGGGAAGAGACTCCACAGGATTCGTCCAGGCAAATCACTAAACACATACAAACCAAAGAACAGCAAAAACGACCACAGATTCAGAGTTGCTACAATACATTATCTAGAATGTCAAGTTTCCAACAAAAAAAATTATGAGACATGGAAAGAAACAGGAAAGTATGACCCATACCCAGGAAAGTAAGGACTCAATAGAAAACTCTTGATCAGAGTGTTACGGAGATGAGTATAATTACAGTTTTGTATCCTGTATTTCACATAAAATTTTAGTAGAAACAATTTCACTAGTCATTAAAATTTCTTTGAAAATACTATTTTTAGGATTGCTTGGTGTTCCATAATATGGCTATACCATAATTTTTCTAACTATGCCCCTATTATGAGACATAGCTACATTTTTAAAGTTCTTTGATTTATATATATATAGTATCCACACTTCTATTTCCTTAATGTAGTTTTCTAAAGATGGAATAAAAAAATGAACTATTTAAAGTCCCTGACAGGGGCCAGCCCCGTGGCTGAGTGGTTAAGTTTGTGCGCTCTGCTTTGGCAGCCCAGGGTTTCGCTGATTCAGATCCTGGGCGCAGACCTAGTACTGCTGGCTCACTCAAGCCATGCTGAGGTGGCGTCCCACATATTAGAGCTAGAAGGACCTACGACTAGAATATACAACTATGCACTGAGGGGCTTTGGGGAGAAGAAGAAAATAATAATAATAAAATAAAGTCCCTGACAAATATTGCTAGATTAAGCTCCAGGAAAGTTGTACAATATTATACCCACATCAGCAGTGAATATGAGTTTATTACCACACGTTATACTTAAAAAAGAAATAAAGAGGGGCCGGCCCTGTGGCACAGCGGTTAAGTTCGCACGTTCCGCTTCTCGGTGGCCCAGGGTTTGCCGGTTTGGATCCCAGGTGCAGACATGGCACCACTTGGCAAAAGCCATGCTGTGGTAGGTGTCCCACATATAAAGTAGGCGAAGATGGGCATGGATGTTAGCTCAGGGCCAGTCTTCCTCAGCAAAAAGAGGAGGATTGGCAGCAGTTAGCTCAGGGCTAATCTTCCTTAAAAAAAAAAGGAAATCATTAGCAATCTAATAAGTAAAAATTGTACTTTAATTTCTATTTCTTTGATTATAGTGAGCGTTGAGTAATTTTTCACATCTATTTACCATGTATGTTCTGTGAATTCCTGTTCATGTCATTTATGCATATTTCAATGGTATTTTGGTGTTTCATAATGGATTTGGAAGGATTCCTCATCAACTATGCGTTATCACACTTGAGTATACTATTCCAAACAATGACTAAGTATCTTTAATTACTGGGGCCATTCAAAAAAATCATATAATCAATTATTTCCTTAAATGTGGAAAGCAAATAAAACAGAATTTAGAGAAAACAAAAGGGATGGGAGTTATACTGACTGAGCGAAATGATTAAGAATCAAACATATTTGAGAGATAGGAGAACTGATAAAGATATTGAGAAAAGTATGGTATACATTACAGATTCAAAAGAAAGCACATTCAAAAGTTAGCAAACAGCATTCCCCTTAGATCTGGAGTATGAGAAATTTCTTTGTAGGGCTCCATCTTCTGTAATGGAAATACACATTCAAACTTTTATTGAATTTCTGCTATGTGTGCTAGTGGGAGAGAAGTTAGGTGGGAGTGAAAAAGAAAAACAAGATCCACTCTGCTCTCAATCTAATGAGGAAACATAAACAATTAAAAATCACTTAAGGCAAGAAAAGGTGCTAAACAGAGGAAAAAGCAGGATGCTGTGGGGGCTCAGAAAGTTACAATTACTGTTGATGAGAATCAGGAAAAGGTTCATGGAGGAATTGGCATTTCTACTTGGTCATCAAGATTAAGTAGGCTTTCTCTCAGTGGAGAATATAGAAAAAGGTTTTCAATAAAGGATGTGCAAAAAAGCACAGGAGGTCACACAAGACAGGAGGTTGTGACCCAGGCATACACCCAGACCCAATCTATCGGCCTTCCGTTCAAGTGGACTGTTGTACTGGTAGATGTAAGCAACATAAGACAGCACCTGTAAAAATTGGTTATGAATGAAAAAATGGCTGAAGACCCATTTTAACTCATTAAAAAAAAATTTTCAACTGAGAATTTAAAAAAACACTGACCATGGAAAATTTAGACTCTGTAAAAATAATCAACACAATAAAACCGACAATGGCAAAAACTTTATACAGTTACATTTGTAGTCTTAGGTTGGGCTCCCTAGAAGCTGACTCCCGAGGAGAATGAGAGTACAAGTAATTTATTCGAGTATGCATCAGTAGGGGAAGGGGAAGGAAGATAGGGATGGGGATGAGCCCGTAAAGGGTCCATCATCAAGCAGTTTTCCACTGAGGGCAACTGGGTTCAATGCCCTACCCACTCCCCAGAGAACTGGGAAAGAACATGTAGAACATACCTCAGTCATCCCCCAGAGGGTGAGGAAGCCGCGGTGTTCCTCCTCCAACTGCTGTCTCTCGCGAGCTCAGGCTTCTTCCCAGGCACAGTGACTCCCCAGCACTTCTGGCCAGGGCGTCAGCTGACGGAGAGCTCTCAAGCAGGGAGTTGCAGGGGTCACCATTCTTGTGTACTGAAGGGTGAGTGCCAAGGGGGTTTGGGTGGGCCACCACTACTGTCTGCTCCATTTGTTACTGACTCAAAACTACCAGAAGAATCACATCTTCCTGATAAAATTTAGGACCACAAAATTTGCAACGCGGGAAACTGGCAGACATAATTGTCATAAAAGTAAACTCACTTGTAAGAGGTTAAAACTAAAAAAATTTTATTCGGACAAATTTTAAAACAAATCTTCACGGTGACATTTTGTGAATAAGAATTTTCCAGATTAGGGCCGGCCCAGTGGTGTAGCAGCTAAATTCGCACGCTCTGCTTCGGCGGCCCGGGGTTCGCAAGATCGGATCCCAGACGCAGACCTAGCACCGCTCATCAAGTCATGGTGTAGCCGGCGTCCCACATATAAAGCAGTGGAAGATGGTCACAGATGTGAGCTCAGGGCAAGGCTTCCTCAGCAAAAAGAGGAGGATTGGTGGCAGATGTTAGCTCAGGGCTAATCTTCCTCAAAAAAATTTAAAAAATTTTCCAGATTAAAATAATTTCAGTAAAATGAAAGCAAATAAAAAAATACTGGAAACATTTTACCTGCATTATATAGAAAATTGATATCAAGGAATTAAATTGATTTGAGTTTGCTGAGGAAAATATGTTCTTCATAAAATTTCATCAATGTTGGCATGATTCTGATTAGAATGTTTGTACTCACAAACATGGAGTCACAGTGTCCTCAGGCTCAAAACAAAAGGAGGGATCGAAACATCCTGTTCTTGAATTGCTAGAGGCCAAAAAATGAAGAGGATTTGTGCCAGGGGAAATTGCATGGGTAAATGCAGAGTGGAAAAGCATATGGAATGCTTTGGGAATGATGAATTCCTCACTGACAGAGCTATGGGAGCAGATGTTAAGCAAAAAAAAAAAAAAAAAAAAAAAAATCATATTCATGAATATTCTGTGGATCTGCAGATTTCTTTGTTGAAAGAGGATAAGAGAAAAATTGGATCTTACAGCTCTCCAGTGAAACTCCTCACAACTTTTCACTAAAATATCCCATGACCTTACAGGAAAAGAATAAAAACCCATTAAAATGAGAGACTGACAGATAACATAATATAAAAGTGTGAGCAGTCTTGAAAATAATTTTAAGGCAAATGGAGTTAGACTGAGAAAAATAGATCCATACCTCACTTTATGGAACACTCAGTCTTCCCTTCATGAAAAGGAGCAAGTGGAGAAAGATTTGCTTTTAAAGGTACATTGTTCTTGCTCTGCCAACTGAGACTGGGGCCTTTCCTAGCCAGAGGACCGGGCATTCACCTCTCTGGATTCCAAGGAGCTATACTGTGAGGCAGGCAGTTTTCTTCCTGAGTTTTGCCCCTTGCCTTGAACCCCTTCGTCCCCACACCCCAACTCCTCAGTCTACCCACTGTCTGTTTACATTTTTACATTGAGACAGAACCACCCCAGTAACCAACTACCCCAGTAATCAAAAGGCAGACTGGCGTGGTATAAAGCACGTCCTCCCCCATTACTCACTCACTGTAAGTGACCACAGACACAGGAAGAACTGTTTCACTTACTGCCATTGGCTTCCAGTGCCACAGAAGGAGATGACGAGAGGAGGGCGATTAACCACCAAAGCACAAAGAGGTGCAATAATGGAAAGCCTGTGAGAAGCTGAAACATGGACTGGAAGCCGTGCCCATCAGCTCTCCCACTTTCCAGCTGCAGACTTATCAAGGGGGTTGAAACCACTACCCAAACGAAGTTGGGACTAAAGACAACCCACAGTTCTGTTGACACACTAAATATGAAAAGGTCTTCCCTTATCTGTGTCTGATATTTTTTTTTTTTTTTGAGGAAGATCAGCCCTCAGCTAACTACTGCCAATCCTCCTCTTTTTGCTGAGGAAGCCTGGCCCTGAGCTAACATCCGTGCCCATCTTCCTCTACTTTCTATGTGGGACGCCTACCACAGCATGGCTTGCCAAGCGGTGCCATGTCCGCACGCAGGATCCGGGCTGGTGAACCCTGGGCCGCCGAAGTGGAACGTGAGAACTTAACCACTGCGCTGCCGGGCCGGCCCCATATGTTGTCGTTCTTAGTGCTGTCAATTTGGACTCCTAGCCACCCTGTGTAGCAGAGTGAACCCTTCCTGGTCTTTCTGCACCATCCTCTCACCTTCCGGCGCTCCTTCAGACAATGCTCCTGTGAAAGATGACTTGAGCGGAGCCATAGTAAAATAGAGCTGGAGCAGCCATTTCAGAGGAATTGCCTTGCACATCTTGTTTTCTTTATCTTCCCAACTGGACCAAACTGCCAACATTCCAAGAAGTCAGTAAGGACAAGAATATCCTGTTTGTAAGGACTGATAAAACTGGACATTGGGGGCCCACCTGGTGGCGCAGCGGTTAAGTGCACACGTTCCGCTTCTCGGTGGCCCAGGGTATGCCGGTTCGGATCCCAGGCGTGGACATGGTACCGCTTGGCACGTCATGCTGTGGCAGGCCTCCCACATAGAAAGTAGAGGAAGATGGGCACGGATGTTAGCTCAGGGCCAGTCTTCCTCAGTAAAAAGAGGAGGATTGGCAGTAGTTAGCTCAGGGCTAATCTTCCTCAAAAAAAAAAAACCAAACAACTGGACTTTGCTGATGACTAAATTGCTAACCAATCAATGAAGTACAAATCTAGCCTTACCTTATCTAGCACCAATGAACTCTTCTTTAATATAACTCACTTCATCCTCACTTTTTCCCATAAAAACCCTAAGCCCCTCTCCTATAATTGGAACACGTTTTGGGTTTCTACCTGAATCTGTGTCTCCCAAATTGCAATTCTAATCGCCCAAATAAATACCTGCTATTTTAACCGTAGTGATTTTCCTTGGTTGGCTATTCATAGGGTTTTCATGGTCAATTTTTTCAGAAGTGGGTGGCCAAGTCCTTCTTCATAATCTCTCAGCCTGGAAGCTCCATTGAAACTTGTCCACCATGGGTGGCCCTGCTGGTATTTGAAATACTGGTTGCATAGCTTTCAGCATCACAGCAACACACAGCCACAACAATATGATAGCCGACAGATGGGTGGTGTGGTTCCCTGACCAGGAAATGAACTCTGGGCTACGGTGGTGGGAGCGCCCAATCTTAACCACTAGACCACCAGAGCTGACTATTTGCATATGAATTAAGAGAAAAAACAAATTGGGGTCTACAAAGACTATGGGATAAAAGAAATAGTTGAAAGACTCAGAGCAGGGAAATGCTTCTGGAAAATTATTTGCTTTCAGAGCCAGAAGAAAAAGTCAAACTATTTGGCATCTTCAAAAGATTGCAAATAATCATAACCTCTGTGCATGAGAAGCAAAAGGTCATAGATAGATGAAGAGCAAAAGTTGAGAAGATAGTTGACTCAGAGAAAGGCTGTAAGAAAATTCCAAAGGCAGCAGAATTAGAATCATATGCAATCAGTAAAGAATAGGATGGTGTAGAAAATTTATGCACTGCTGTGAAAGACATCCTTGAGATGCTTTCCCAGAATGCAGATGAAAGTGACAAGGAGATTCACTTCTTCACCACATGCTTCATGAACACCTATGCACCAGTCACTGTGGTAGGTGCTGGATCTAAAGGCCTTCGAATTCTCTATCCTCAGAGTGTAAGAGGCAGCCATTGTACCCTTAAACGCAAATTAACTTATAATCACAAATTGTGATGGTTGCCGTAACTGAAAACTGGCACTATAAAGATGGCCCAGGAGAAGCCAGTTCTGATTGGCTGGTTAGGGGAGAGTCTCTCTAAAGAAGGAATATATAGCTGGAGATACAAATGATGAGTAAGAGAAAACCGAAAAATAGAGAGCGGGCAGGGGTGTGTAGCCCTGCAGCATAAGAGCACGTGGGGCAGCAGAGAGACTGAAAGAGGACGGAGGTGAGGAAGGTGGGGAATGCGGCGCCAGATGTGATGGAAGAGGTATTAGAGCGAGACACACAAGGCCACCTAAGACTGGGGGAGGAGTCTGGATTTTATTCTAAGGGACATGGGAATTCATTGAAGGGTTCTAAGTAGGTGGCTGATGTGATTTATGTTTTAAAGAGTTGTCTGGTCCCTGAAGCGGGTAAGAACAGAACTGGGAAGCTCACTGAGGGGGCCAGGGCAGTGTGAAGGGTGATGATGATTTGGACAATGGTGGTGGCTGACACTGCAGACAGAGAAGTGAATGGAGTTAGGACATGCTCTAGAGGTAACAACTGGCAGAACTTGGTGGTGGATTGGGTATAGGAGGAAGTGGAGAGGGGACAGCCCCAAACAATTCCTGGGTCCATCCTGAGTGCAGGGCATATGCTGACGCGTTAATTACAGTGGGAAAGATGGGTAGCGGAGAGCTTCGGGGAGGGAACAGTGGGGGTGCAGGTTCAGCGCATTAGCTCTCAGATGCTCGTGAGCTGTTCAAGGGTGAAGAGGGCAAAACAGTCACTGGATATGTGAATCTGGAGGGAGCTCAGAAGAGAGGTCCGAGGCCGGAGCTGGAGCCATGCAGCGGGCAGTCATCCGCTATCACAGATAGCACTTTTGTTTTATGAACCTTTTCCTGATAGAAATGTTCAAAGATAAATAAAAGTAGACAAAATAGTATACTGAACTTCTATGTACCCATCATAGTACAAATAGTATTTTGCCATGAGAATAGTAAGTCTCCGAAGGAGAAAGAGAAAGATCGCAACTCCCACTGAGTTTCCTCATCCACAAAATGGGAATATTCGAACCCACCTCACGGAGTTAGGGTGAGAATAATATGAGATCAACCATATCAATGGTGTGCAATAACCAATGTTAGCCACTAATATTTCGTTATTGTTGGGTGGGTAATATTGATCCAATATTGGAGAAAGAAAATATACCAAGGTTAGTGAGTAGAAACAAACTGAGTTAAGTTTCCAAACTCGGGAGAAAGCATTCAAACCATTGAGCTCTTATGAGGAGAAGAACAAAACAGAAGCTGCTGACACAACTGTGGCAACTTTTCTAATTCTCGCAAAGGCGAGGCAAGGGGACGACACAGCAAGAGAGATTAAGTACACTTAAGGTTTCACTAAAGTGTGAATGTGGATGTAAGACTCCTGGGTGCCCTGGCAATGGAGCCCCCACCTTATGGTCATACCATTATACTAAGGGGAAAATGCACACGAAAGTGAAGTGGGTAGTAAAGAGAGTCAGAGCGTTACATGATCTGGTCTGGTGAGGATCTGGGGAGCTTTTGCTGTAAAGAATGACTTCGCGGGCAAATTTTTAAAATGGATTATGAATAAAAAGGTTAAACTGAGCCTGCGCTCTGGAACGGAGCTTCTCAAATGTTAATGTGCACACAACCCCCACCCGCCCCGCCACCCTGGGATGTTGTGAAAAAGTTCCTTCGGGTGCGGTGGGTCCAGGATGGGGCCTGAGACTCTGCATTTCCAACAGGCTCCCAGGCGAGGCCGACGCCCTGTTCTGAGCAGCAGGGGTTTCTGGGATCCTGCAGAGCTGTTGCTCTCCCCGCGGGCTTTGCGACGAGTCTGTGACCGAGAAGTCGCAGTAGAGCGCGTACCTGCCAGCGCTGCTGCCAGAAACACAATGGGACGGGGAAAGGGCAGAAACCCATTCCCTCAGAAACCTTCCCACATAAAGGGGCTGGGCTTGTGGCAGCCAGTGGCTTAGAGTCCTGCTCTGGGCCTTATGTGGCCCAGGAGTGTTGGGAGAAGAACGGGACTCAACCGCTCTTGGGATTAATGCCACCACCCACGTCCATGCCCCAAGGAACTCAACATTCAGAAGTGGAGGAGAGAGAAAATGACCAGAGAGATGACAGATAGGGAGAAGGGAGAATGACTCCAGCACACAGGTACTTGCTGTTCCTAGCCAAGAGATGCAATAATGAAAGATATTTTAGAAAAAGATTTTCCTAAGCTTCAGAAGATCTCTATCTGCAGACGGAAAGAACTTACCCCATTTCAGGGAAAATTCACGACCTACACACAGACACATTTGGCAACCATTTTTAACGACAAGGGGGAAAAAACCCTGCAATCAGTAAGACAGGAGAAAAGAAAGCATCCCGTGTTGAGGGCTGACCTGGTGTTCGGCACGCTACTTGGTGTTTGACGTGAATTCTCTCCTTTAGACCTCACGGCATTCCAATCAAGTGGGGGTGCTGGCCTTTCCGTTGACCGGATTCGGGAACTCAAGCGATTCTGTCGGGATGCCTTTGCTCTCCAGCTGCCTCAGCTCTTTCATTCCCCGTGGTAGCAGACCGGCTTCCTCCAGACGCAGCACAGGCAGCTCAGGGCTCACGTTATCCTAGCTCAGTAACCGCGGAAGAAAGAGAGAGTCTCTCTTCTGGTTTCGCCACAGAAGGGCTCCAGTTGTTTTTGTGCCTGTGCTCGCCCTGGGATCCATCACAGTGGCCAAGAGGATGGAGTAAGATAATTGGCCAGGGGCCGCCGGTACTCTGATTAGAAGTCCCGCCAGAATTAAAAGGTTGGCGTGAGAAAAAGTAAACATACAAAAGAGAGCAAGGATGGTTTGGCCAACAAATGCAAAGGGTCCAGGACAGGGAGGTCTATGAGTTGCCCCACCTTACAGATGATGAGACAGCATGGATTAGAGAGGTCAAGGTCACACATCTAGTCGAGGTTGAAGAGCCAGGATATAAACCAAGGCAGTCAGAGCAGAGCTCTTCACCACTATGCTGTAAGGCCACAAAGTGACTTTGGTTTCAGACTTCTCTGCAGCATCCGCTTTCAGAAGAAAATGGAGCAACAGCTAGACTTTTTAGAGAAAAAGATTGTAACCAAAAATTCGTACACTCTGCCAAATTGTCTTTCATGATAATAGCGAACAAATATTAAACACAAAACTGTGTGACATTTCTAAGTGCTTTATACATATTGACTCACGCACTCCATGAACAACCCTGTAAGACAGGAATTCTTCTTATCTTCATTTTACAGATGAGAAAACTGAGGCCCAGAGAAGTTAGGTAACTTACAGAAGAGCCAGGATGGTGCCTAGACAATCCCATCTTCTGAGTCCATGCTGCGAACTGCTCTTCCAGAAGGCCAGAGTGCAAAAGCATATCATCGATGCCTACTTCTTGAAAAGAATCTAACAAAAATACATGCCATAACAAGAGATCAAAAACACAACCAGAGTTCAAAAATGAGAAAATTATATGAAAACCACAAAGTTAGTTTTTAGAAGTCTAAATGATTACTCTGTATCTAAATCTAAGATTTTATTTAAAAAGAGAAGGGAGAGGAAAGTAAAAATGAACTCAATTTTGCTCAATCAGGAGGAACTAAAAGATTACCATTTCATTAAAAAATTTCTGATAATTTAAGAAATGTAGGCCACAGAATGTTTTTTTATTGTTGTTCTGCTTGAATATTTTATTTAGCAATCTTCCAAATACAGCTCGTGCCATAAACTCCTCTCAAGGAAAACAATAAGGTTTTTTTTTTATAATACAAACTCACAGATTCAAACTTATTTGATGTGTTTTAATGCACTATAATTATCTTTACTGATGTTTAAATTATCCCAACTCTAGCTAGTGGGAACTTTAAGTTGGCTCCTGAGTCCTTTCGGTATGACCTTGTAGTCTCTGATAGCTTTATTGCTATCAAAACACCTTGGATGTGTCCTTCCCCAGATCCAAAGAGTGCTTCAAGGTCATACATACTAGTTCTAAAAGAAACATTAAAAGATAGCATAGAAAAAGATGAAACATAATAAACTAAATGTATTGGTTATAATGATAAATATAAACGGAATCTGCTCCCATATTTAAGATTTTATTTTTCCTTTTTCTCCCAAAGTCCCCTGGTAGATAGTTGTGTATTTTTTAGTTGTGGGTCCTTCTAGTTGTGGCTGCTCCCATATTTAAAAACAAAATTTCCCAGACTGTATTTTTAAAAATCAATTCTATGTTATTTAAAAGAATTACACAATGGCACAAAAAGATCAATGTAAGAAAATGGGAAAAATACGCAAAACAGACACAAATTAAGGGAAACCAAAGATCAAAATAGTTAAATTAGTAGAATTTGAGAGGAAAAAAATGAATGAAATGGCATTGAAATGTATAAAACCAGGGGCCGGCCCGGTGGCGCAGCGGTTAAGTTCGCACGTTCCGCTTCTCAGCGGCCCGGGGTTCGCTGGTTCGGATCTCGGGTGCGGACATGGCACTGCTTGGCAGCCATGCTGTGGTAGGCGTCCCACGTATAAACTAGAGGAAGATGGGCACGGATGTTAGCTCAGAGCCAGGCTTCCTCAGCAAAAAGAGGAGGACTGGCAGTAGTTAGTTGAGGGCTAATCTTCCTCCAAAAAAAAAAACCAAAAAACAAAAAACAAAACAAAAAAAAATGTATAAAACCAAAATATGAAGGATAGAGACTCACTTAATAATACAATTAATAAGTCTTATTCAATAGCTTTCTGGAAAGAAGCATGTATACTAGACACACCTTTTTTCCTAGTGCCCACAGAACACTTAGAAAAATTGAAAATATAGATGCACTGACAGTGACACTTAAACCGGGTTCAATTGCTGAAGAACACAGGACCCAAAATGACAAAGCTTACAAATCTACAGTTTATTACAGAGAAAGGACACACTAGAGCAAGAGCATGGAAGAATATACATCACAGCATATGACTCACAGCAGGGGTCTGGAGAGGCCAGGTGCAGGCTCCTATTGTCCTCTTTCTGTAAGGGCCAGGCCAGATGTCTTATGGATCCGGAACCACTGATGTGTGCACAGAACACTTCAGAACCAGTGAGACCAAAACGAAGTCTTTGCTGAGGTTGTTTATATTTTGCTAGTCACCTAGGCATAGCCCTGCTGCAGAACCAGCAGAACCCTGGGGCGGGGGCGGGGGAGTATCACACCAAGACCAGGTGCAACTCTTCAATCTCATTGTTATTAATAAACAATGCTGACAAGCTAGGTCAAACTGCCCAGAAACTCTTTGGACTCATGGTTACATAGACACACTATACATCAACATTTCATGCTTTGACCCTTTGACCAGGAGTCGGTGTCAAGCAAGAGCTTTAATTTAACCAAACAGCTCAGGTTAATTGCAGACCTGCTGTGACTAACCTTTACAGCACAGCTGCAAAATATGAAGTACATCTCAGTGATTTCCAAAACGCTGAAACCATACAAACCCTATTTCTGGATCACAATTCAAAAAATGAATAATTATGATGAATACAAAGTAATCAGAAATGCAAATTAAAACAAGGTACTTTTTTTAGAATATAAGGCTGATGAAAATTAATTAGAATGTTAATATCAGTAAGGATCTAGGGAAGCTAGGCCTCTTCATTCACTGCTCCCGGAGACATAAATTTGTAGAACCTTTCTCAGGTACATCTGGGTAATCTGTATTAAAATATTTAAAAAGGCACATTCTCTCAGTCCAGAAATTACATATTTGGCATTTCATCCTGAGGAAATAATTGAGGATATGAGCAAGCAAGGTTGTTTATTGCAGCGCAGTGGATAATAGCAAAATGTTGGAAACAATCAAAACATCCAGGAATATGGGGACTGTTTCAGTAATGTATATCCATATCCAACAAAAGACCCCAAATTGCTAAAGCAATCCTGAGAAAAAAGAACAAAGCTGGAGGCATCACAATCCCTGATTTCAAAACATACTATAAAGCTACAGTAATCAAAACAGCATGATACTGGTACAAAAACAGGTGCATAGATCAATGGAACAGAATTGAAAGCCCAGAAATAAAACCACACATCTATGGACAGCTTATCTTCGACAAAGGAGCTGAGGGCCTACAATGGAGAAAAGAAAGTCTTTTCAACAAATGGTGCTGGGAAAACTGGAAAGCCACATGTAAAAGAATCAAAATTGACCATTCTTTTTCACCATTCACCAAAATAAACTCAAAATGGTCAAAGACCTAAAGGTGAGACCTGAAACCATACGCTTCTAGAAGAAAATGTAGGCAGTACACTCTTTGACATCAGTATTAAAAGGATCTTTTCGGACACCATGTCTTCTCAGACAAGGGAAACAATAGAAAGAATAAACAAATGGGGCTTCATCAGACTAAAGAGCTTCTTCAAGGCAAAGGAAAACAGGATTGAAACAAAAAACAACCCACTAACTGGGAAAAAATATTTGCAAGTCATACATCTGACAAAGGCTTAATATCCATAATATATAAAGAACTCATACAACTCAACAACAAAAAATCAAACAACCCAATCAAAAAACGGGCAGGAGACATGAACAGACATTTTTCCAAAGAAGATATACAGATGGCCAATAGACACATGAAAAGATGTTCATCATCGCTGATCATCAGGGAAATGTAAATCAAAACTACACTATCAACTTACACCCATTAGAATGACAGAAATAACTAAAACAAATAGTAACAAATGTTGGAGAGGTTGTGGAGAAAAAGGAACCCTCATACACTGCTGGTGGGAATGCAAACTGGTGCAGCCACTATGGAAAACAGTATGGAGATTCCTCAAAAAATTAAAAATAGAACTACCATACGATCCAGCTATCCCACTACTGGGTATCTATCCAAAGAGCTTGAAGTGAGCAATTGCAAAAGTCCCATGCACCCCAATGTTCGTTGCAGCATTATTTACAATAGCCAAGACGTGGAAGCAACCTAAGTGCCCATCAACAGATGATTGGATAAAGAAGATGTGGTATATATACATAATGGAATACTACTCAGCCGTAAAAAAGAACAAAATCATCCTATTTGCAACAACATGGATGGACCTTGAGGGAATTATGTTAAGTGAAATAAGCCAGATAGAGAAGGACAATCTCTGTATGACTCCACTCATATGAGGAATTTAAAAATGCAGACAAAGAGAACAGATTAGTGCCTACCAGGGGAAAGGTGGGGTGGGGGGCAGGCACAAAGGGTGAAAGGGTGCACTTACAACATGACTGACAAACAATAATTTACAACTGAAATTTCACAAGATTGTAACCTATCATTAACTCAATAAAAATTAAATTAAAAAATAATAATTTTGTAGAGGTCTCTTTGTGGCAGGCTCTATTAGTTGCATGTCTAAAATTCTTTCCCCTCTTCTTCAATAGTAACAGAACCTGGATACAATTCAGGGCAGCAACATTCACTGCTCCAGGCACAAAATCATGACAATCCTGTTCCCACTTTCCCAGCTTCCCTTGCACCTAGGAGTGGCCACATGACCCAGTTCCAGTCAATGAAATGTAAGAAGTCTACTGGGGGTTTGAGAAAGTTTTTTGCTTTGCTAATAAAAGAGAAAAATGTTCTTTTTTTTTTTTTGAGGAAGCCTGGCCCTGAGCTAACTGCTGCCAATCCTCCTCTTTTTGTTGAGGAAGACTGGCCCTGAGCTAACATCTGTGCCCATCTTCCTCTACTTTCTATGTGGGATGCCTACCACAACATGGCTTGCCAAGCAGTGCCATGTCCGCACCCTGGATCCGAACTGGCAAATCCCGGGCCACCAAAGCGGAACGTGCGCACTTAACTGCTGCGCCATCGGGCCAACCCTGAGAAAAATGTTCTTGATGCCATCATCTACCTCAGACCTTACATTAAGTGAGAAAAATTAACTATTTGTTAAGCAAGAGTTGGTTGGATTTTCTGTTATTTGGAGCCCAAAGTGTCCCTAACTGTGGGTGGATACTGTGATGTGCTTCCCCAGATCCCCTCAGGACTCCCAGATACTGAGAGGGCTACAGGTTCACAGTCTTCATCTGCCAGCTATCTCCAGGAAGTGCACTCAGTTGAAGTTAGCTGCCTTGCTCAATGTCACATCCACTTCTCAGGAGGCAACCCATATGAAACTCCACAGGAGTATAAAGGTGCAGCCTTCTTTCTTTAATTTGAGACAACTCTGCAGGGCCCTCCCAGATCCAGAACTGGAGCCCTTGTGACTACTGCACCATTGCCTAACTTCTCTTTCTGCCTAATCCTACTTTATCCCCTTCCCCGATGGTGTTGATCTTAAGAGTACTCCCTAATAAACTTCCTGCACTGAAATCTCTACCTCAGAGTCTATTTCCTGGGGAACCCCACCGACAGCACCACTGACACATGTATTCACATAAAAAGATGTCCAAAATATATTGCTAAATGACACAACAAGTTATAAAGCAGTATGCATGGTGTTCTCTTATTATACAGATTATATATCTGCATAGAAAAAATTTCTGTGAAGGAAAACACTAACATTTTAATAGCAGGACTTGGGTTTCCAACAATATGCTGGACTAGATGTTTAGAGCAACTCCTTCTAATTCAGAAGACATTAAACACCAAAAGAAGAAGTCTTAATATGTAGAGTAGTGTGGGAAAGTAAGGGAATTCTGGGGGCAGGGGTTGGCAAAAATGATAGGAAAGCAAAAATCCACAAGGGCTAGAGATAATATTTACTCTGGTGGTATCTGCTAATTCCTGATGGCCTAGAGGCAGGTTTTAATGAACCATTGCTGTAGGGGACAGGAGACAAATCCTAGAGCCCAAGCAGTGTGAGAGGTCAGGATGGAGAGCCTTACATAGAGGCAGGAGAGCCAAAGGGCAACAGTCTCAAGAAGTTTAACTGGAAAAAGCCCATCCTGCAGATGGAACTGAGGGAAGTAAATTCCATGGGAACAGCCAAGCACAAGCAAATGCACATGGGTGTGGGCCACACCTAAACCTGAATCTCTGTGGCCCAAAATAAACCCTATGCCAAAAATAGAGATCAAAGTGGTCCTTGGTAGTGCCCATAGGAAACTATTAGAAGAAAATAAAAAATTTTCTTTGGAGGAATACATTTACAAAGAATTCAAAGAATTATCATAAAGTTACAAATTCAGAATAATAAATAAATCACTAAATCCATGAGGGTGAGCATAAACATCAAACTTCAGAATCAGGCACACATACAAAAAACTACTGTATAGTGGGATATTCAGAAACCGAATATAAAATAATGATGCTTATTGTGTCTAAAGAATTAAAGATAAGGTTGACAGAATAAAGGACACAGAGACCATCAAAACTGACTAGGGTAGATTTGAAAGAAAATCAAATAGGTGTTTATACAATAAAAAAGTAATAATTTTAAAAAGAGATTCAAAGGATGTTATAAACAGCAGATAAAACTAAAGAGAAAATTAGAGAATTAGAAGACAGATCTAGGGGCTGGCCCAGTGGCGCAGCAGTTAAGTTTGCACATTCTGCTTCAGTGGCCTGGGGTTTGCTGGTTCAGATCCCAGGTGTGGACCTCTGCACCACTTGTCAAACCATGCTGTGGCAGGTGTCCCACATATAAAGTAGAGGAAGATGGGCATGGATGTTAGCTCAGGGCCAGTCTTCCTCAACAAAAAGAGGATTGGCAGCAGATGTTAGCTCAGGGCTAATCTTCCTCAAAAAAAAAGTGGGAAGACGATAGATCTAAATAATTTACCAATATAAGACAAAAAGAATGACAGAAAATATTAGAGGTTAAGAGAAATAGAGAATGAAGAAAGTTCAATATATGTTCCAAGTGGCATTCCAGAAGGAGAGAAGAACAATAATAGAGGAAAATATACAAAGAGATAAGGTTTCAGAAATGATGAAAGACATCGATCTTCAGATGCAGAAACCAAGCAGGATAATTAAAATAAATCCACACGTAAACACATAGTAATAAAACTGCAGAATACCAAAGACAAGCAGACTTTCCAATAATGGTAGTCAGAAGAGAATGAAATAGTATCTTTGAAATGGCAAGAAAAATAACTGTCACCCTAGAATTTTATACCTAGCAAATAAACTTTTATGAATGAGGATGAAATAAAGATATTTTCAGACATAAACAAATATCATTAAAATAACTTTTAAAGAAAATATCGAAGAAGGATAAAAATGATTCTAAGAGGAACATCTGGGACATAAGAAGGAATAGTAAGCAATATTCAATATTGTACTGGAAGTCCTAGCCAGTGAAAAAAGGCAAGAAAAAGAAATAAAGGGTATACATATTGGAAAAGAAGAAATAAAACTGTTTCTATTGATAATCTGTCCATGTAGAAAAACTCAAAAAGTCTACCAAAAAACTACTAGAACCAACAAGTGGGTTTATTAAGGTCCTAGGACATGAGGTCAGTATACAAAAACCTATTCCATTTCTGTATACTAGCAATAAACAATTGGAAACTGAAAATTTAAAATAGTACTATTTACAAGAGCACCAGAAACATGAAATCCTTAGGTATGATTCTTAAAAAATATGTGCAAGATCTGTACGCTGAACATTACAAAACTTCAATGAAAGAAATCAAAGAAGACCTACATACATAAGGATATACTGTCTTCATAAATTGGAAGACTCATTGTTGAGATGTCTGTGGTAGGTAGCCATTAAGATGGCCCCCAATGATCCCTGCCTTTGGGTATTCACGCCCTCGCATAACCCCCTCCTCTTGAGTGTGGGCTACACCTAGTCATGCGCTTCTAATGAATAGAATACGGCAAAAATCACTTGCTTCCTAGATTAGATTGCAAAGAGTCTGGCTTTTGTCTTGAGCACTCTCTCACTCTCTTGCTCTGAGGAAAGCTAGCTGTCATGTTGTGAGCTGCTCTATAGAGAGGCCCACAGGTCAAGGAACGGAGG